AAGCGCTGTCCGCACTCCGGCCAACTGCACACGAATGAGCTCAGGTCTCCGTGACGGCGGCGGTGCAGCTTCAGGTCGCGGACCGTCACAAACGTCTTGTCGCAGCCCTCGTAGTCGCAGTTATAGATAGCGGGCGCGGCACTCGTGTTGTGATATTTGGCGCTATGATTGCGTAAATCAAAAGCCGTGTAAAATGTTTGCTCACATTGGGTGCACTGGAAGGGTTTGATCCGCTGATGTCGGTTCATATGGTCGGTGAGCTGTTGGCCCGATAGAGACACGTGACCGCACGCGGGCCACGTGCAGGCGAACCTGGCTTTGGCGCCACCCGTGCGCTGCGACCGGTCCTGATGTGTGCGCATGTGTTGAGTTAGCGTTTGTCTCAGTTTGAAAGACTTGTGACAGCCGGCCGTCGGGCAGACAAAGTGCCGGACGTCGAGGTGTACGGCCTTGTGATCGGTGAGCGCTTCTCTGGTCTTAAACATGGCCTCACATGCGGGCCATTGGCACTGATAGGGCCGCACTCCTGAGTGAATCGTACGCTTGTGTTTGTCGAGGTTTCGCAAAGTCTTGAACGTCTTGCCTTCGCAGCCGATCTCAGGACATATAATGGTCGCCATTGCGTCCGACGAGTCATCACTTGATGAGTCTTCGGGTGATTTAGGTTTTGAGCACAACTTCTTCGCAAAACCCTTTAAACTCTTACGATTGACCTTTGCTTTGGGCGCACATTGTTTGCCGCTATTTTCTTTTCGAGGCCTCTTCTTCGGCACAGCTTTCACTTTGGGTTCATTGGGCTCTTCATCGACAATGACTATCGGTTCCAATAGTTTGCGGTCAGAAGCGGTGGCCGGGAATGCACTCAAGCGATTAGATTTGCGCTCACGTGTCGGTTGTCGAGTGGTTTTGTCATCAAATATATTGTCAAACCCATCATATCTATCGCCGCTCGAGTCTTCACCACTGGTTACCGCGGAAGACGTGTCCGTCCTTTTCGGGATCAATCTATTATCACTGTTTTTGGCTTCATTTATGGCACAATCATTGTTGATATCTTCGACACCATTAGTGTTAACCATAAAGTGTCTGTTATTTTCCTCGGGATCGTCAGCAGCGGTTGTGCGATGTCTTGTGAATCCATATTTGGTGACAAACTTATCGTTAATAAAGTGGTAATAATTGTCTAATTTTTTCAGTTTTTGTTTGTTTTCCACATTTTGTTCACAAATGCAGTCATTATTGAAAACTATTAAACAGAAAGACTTCAAAAGGTTGTCAAACAGTGTTTAGAACTCTAGTGCATTTTCTGTGGCTAAGAGCAGAGAGTTGCGAAGGTCGCCACTACAGAAGCTGCTGTTGAGTGTGCTTCTGTAACGCGAAGGTCTTCTTCGGCAATTAACTCAAGAAATTATGTAATTATTATTTGAATTGCATTTAAATTATACACAAAATTGTGATTTATTTTCAAATCGCGAAAACCTTTTCGACATTTTATTTGTTGTCATAAAAATACGTTCATTAATAACGTTACGAATGCACATAAAAATGCCCCCAAATATATAACCATGGCCATTTTCACATGGTTATCGGCAGGTAATTATTTCTCGCATTAAATATTTAAATACAGTATTAAAATTGTGAACACATTTTGTTTCAATTTTTAATATTTAAACAATTAATAAATGAGATAATATTTACATTTTATTTCAATCATAGTTAACGTACTCTATGTTTAATTCATGAAAGTTTTGTCTCAATAGTAATGTTGAGTGAGTTTTTGTTTTTAAATCTGATTTGAATTGAGTTTTGGTATAAATTGTGATTTAATTGTGAATTAAATGTCCAAAACTTACTCTCTACTCAAATTTCCCTTTGGTCTTCAGTCAATACTAATCATAATTACTATAAAACCTACTAAATTCCGTACTTTTGTTATCTGAAAATTTACTCAATAACAAACGTTTGTTTACTCTCAATGAATTGAAAACTGATTTAAATTTCATTTGCAATAAATTGGAGACAATTATTACCGCAGAAGACAAACAACTCTTCAATCAATTGATCCAAACATTGAGTCAATTCACGGACAAAACATCACTCGAAGAGGCGATCCCAAGAAGTGATGAAATTGTTGTCAAACCTGTTGTCGAGAATACAATTGAAATACAGAGTCCATCAGTTGTGCGAAGAAGTGATGAAACGATTACCACTTTTTCAGAGGAAAAGACAATTAAAACAAATAAAACAATAATTGGGACAAACGTTAGAAGAAGTGGAAGAACTGATCGCAAAGTCTACACAAGTTTACTAAAAAGATCCAGAGATCCAAATCATGTCCCAAAACCCAAATTTGAGCGCAAAGTGTATGCAATACCTGATCCCGAATCGGATCCCAATTCACTGCTATTATTACGAAGAGATAATTACTCTCCGAAGACACAGCAGTTTATGTGTCCTAACCCTCACTGCCGTAAAGGGTTTGTTAGTTCGCACAGACTTTACAATCACTTCCATTCCGTTCATTACAAGGAGAAGAAAATCGTTTGTCAAGAATTTAATTGTGGCAAAAGTTTTAAGACTAATAATGAACTGCAAAACCATTTAAGAAATCTTCACAACGATTACCGACCCTTTGAGTGCTCGCAAAAGGGCTGCGATTTTAAGTGTAAAACTGAAGCACAACTCAATTTCCATTCAGGCATTCATTCAGACATTTATGCCTTCAAATGCAATGAATGCGAGAAAGCATTTAAAACTCAATATTATCTTAACACTCATTTGCGGATCCATTCAACTGAAGACACATTTCGGTGTCGTTACGAGGGATGCAATCAATGGTTTAAATCTGATCTAAGACTTCGCAAACACAAGATCTCTGTACACAACGCGCGGCAGAAGTGGTATCCGTGCGAATGGCCCGCATGTGACTATCGGACTAAGAGCTCATTTAGTCTTAAAAATCACCGCCGCATACATACGGGTGAGCGACCATTCGAGTGCCGGTGGCCGGCATGTGGTAAACGGTTTAGTACGTTTGGAATGCGCAAAGATCACGAGCGGATCCATTCCAATACGAAGAACTATGTGTGCCATTGGCCCGGATGTGGCTATCGGTGCGTTCAGAGCACTAATCTAACCAAACATATGAAAGTACATCAAAAGTGATTTGATTTTAATTTAATTAGTTTTGGTTACATTTGAATTTGTAAATGTTGTAAGAATTTGTCAATTGAATTGTATTTATAAATTGTAAATTAAATAAAACTTCATTAAATACAACACTAAAAGTATTGAACATTAATTAAATTGTGAGACAATCCCTCTGTTATGGCATTTGTCTCAACATTTGGTTACAAAATATTTGACATAAAATGTGATTTGAATTGAGTTTTACTTTAAATTGTGATTTAATTGTGAATTGAGTTTAAAGGGAAACCAGAAGTCAGTTATGATTAGTATTAATGATATTTTGGATGATTTAAGGCATGAAAACAACAGACTTTTAAATGAGTTATTGTTTGCAAACAAATGTGTCAATGAATTGAAAACTCATTTGAATTTCATTTGCAATAAATTGGAGACAATTATTACCGCAGAAGACAAACAACTTTTCAATCATTTGATCCAAACATTGAGTCAATTCACGGACAAGACATCACTCGAAGAGCAGATCCCAAGAAGTGATGAAATTGTTGTCAAACCTGTTGTCGAGAATACAATTGAAATAAAGAGTCCATCAGTTGTGCGAAGAAGTGATGAAACGATTACCACTTCCTCTGAAGAAAAGACAATTAAAATCAATAAAAAAATAATTGAGACAAACGTTAGAAGAAGTGGAAGAACTGATTGCAAAGTATACACATGTGTACTGAAGACACCGAGAGATCCAAATCATGTCCCGAAACCCAAATTTGAGCGCAAAGTGTATGCAATACCTGATCCCGAATCGGATCCCAATTCACTCCTATTATTACGAAGAGATAATTACTCTCCGAAGACACAGCAGTTTATGTGTCCTAACCCTCACTGCCGTAAAGGATACAGAAATGCTATGCGATTATATAAACACTTCCATAACGTCCATCACATGAAGAAGACATTTATTTGTCACGAATTAAATTGTGGTAAAAGTTTTAAGACAAAGAACGAGCTTAAAAGCCATGAAAACAATGTTCACAGCGATTACCGACCCTTTGAGTGCCCGGAAAAGGGCTGCGAATATAAGTTTAAAACTGAAGCACAACTCAATTCCCATTCAGTCATTCATTCAGACATCCATTCATTCAAATGCAATGAATGCGAGAAAACATTCAAAACTCTATCGAGACTTAACTCTCATCAGAAACTTCACGGAAATGAAGACAACTTTAAATGTCGTTACGAGGGATGCAATCAGTTCTTCAGGAATAGATTCCGACTCCGGAGGCATAAGATAGTGGTCCACAACGCGCACCAAGAGGTATACGCCTGTGAATGGCCCGCATGTGACTATCGGTCCACTTGTAAGCAATTGGTTGACATTCACAGACGTGTCCATACGGGTGAGCGACCATTTGAGTGCCGGTGGCCGGCGTGTGGTAAACGGTTTCGTACAATATCGGGTCGCAGAGATCACGAGCGGATCCACTCAAATACCAAGATTTATGTGTGTCATTGGCCCGGATGTGGCTATCGGTGCGTTCAGAGCTCTAATCTTACTAAACATATTAAATGTCATCAAAAGTGATTTTTTAATTCAAATGTTGATATCTTATTCACTATTTATTAAGTATTATAACTTTTAATTAATAAATTTCAGTCAATTTGTAATTGTTATCATGTTTTGAAATGTAAATTCAATGTATACTGTAATAATTATATTGATTATATGATTAAATTTAGTTTAAATGGATTTAAGTTTTGTCATTATATGAGCACAAAATGACAGTCATTTATCATTTAATTTACTTCATCCATACTTTTTTTAAATTTCATATAATTTATGTTATATTTTAATAATTTGTAATTTATATAACTTTAACTGCAATTTTTACCTGAAAATAAAATAAATTAAAAAATAAATCATTTGTAATATAATTAAAACTTAAATAAAACACAAGTAAAACAACAAGTATTCAAACTGTGCGCCAAAAGTGTAAATATGTTGTAAATGTGGAGACAATCCCTGATTATTATTGTTTTGTTTGTCAATCAAAACAACATTTTCTAATATTTCGCGAAACAAAAAACATGTGTTTTTCAAACAATTAATTAATCACTGAATCGACGATCAGCGACCAGCGATTGGTGGACGAGTTGAGGGCCGATAACCAACTATTGGCGGCCAAAGTGTCTCACTATCAGACGTGTGTGGATGTGTTGGAGGCGTACCGCAAGTGGTTAATCATATTCACCAACAATAACAAGTCGGACACACAACTGATCCAATTGAATGTGGTGTTGGATCTCGAGAAACAATACAAAGCCGTGTTTCCCATGGATTCACAATTGGATCACCGATTGGTTGGCGCCGACGACACCGTCGCCGCCGATACCCGCAGTCCAGCCGTCGGCCATAATGTCGTACAGAAGCCCTCGCCATCGGTGGCGCCCATGAAGTATGTGCTGTCGCCGCAGCCATCGTCCAGCACTCGACCCGCGAGCGCAGCCCCACCCGTCACACCCGTAACGACTCCTATGCCGACCCCTATGTCGACCCCTGGGGTGCAAGTGTTGCCCAAAAGTACTCCTTTGTCGACCCCTGGAGTGCAAGTGTTGCCCAAAAGTGTACCGAAAGTATCGGTTCCTCCCATTACGACCACTATTGAGCCAATAGATGTGGCCCTCGCTGTCAAAGACATTGGGCCGCTATTGGGTGTCGGCATCACTGGTCGAGTCGGTCGGCCGCCAAAGGTATCGCTTGAACTTCCGGTTCCCGATAAGACAGTTGTTCCCAAAGTGGCCGCCAAAGCGTCGGTCAAAGGGTCGGGCAAAGCGCCGGCCAATGTGTCGACCGCTGAGCCGAAGCCTTCGAAAACAGTAACCGTCAGCGAAACGATTAGCAAAACAATGGCTAACCTTAAGGAGAAACCAATCATCACTTACGAGGGTATCTCTCGCCGAAGTAGTCCACGAAAACGGCCGCAATTGGTTGAAACCCCGATCGACACGCCTATCGTCGAAGAAATCGCCGCAAATGTCGAAACAATAGACGATAAAAGCGATTCCAATAACGAATGGAGTGATCACATGTACCACAAGAATACCAGCGATTCCGCCGACGGATCAGAGACCTGGTCGGCCACAAGCGGACCCATTATTGACACAAACGACGAAGAGTTGACCGATTGGCGCGCCGGAGATGAGACGCCTGTTATAGTGTCGCCCAAAATGGTGGACACTTCGCTTAAGACGAGCGCCAATAATAACCAGACTTTGGATGAAATAGAATTGAATAACAAGTCGGTTGTCAGCGGTTCCAACACTCCATCCAAACCATCACCCGATGGCAAACAAGTGGTGAATCAAAACACAGATTTAGTTGTCAAACACATGGGTTTTCTAAAGCCAAACACTACACCACTTGCGACTACAACATCGGCAATGATTATCAGGAATAGACCGCCAGTGACTACAACACTGTCAATGAGTACAACGCCAGCCGTGACTACAACATTGGCAATGAGTTCCAGGAATACACCGCCAGTGACTACAACACTGTCGATGAGTACAACACCGGCGAAGAGTTCTGTGGGAACAATCACTGACAAGCAGTTGATGCCAGCGAAAGGTCCACCGTTTGATATTCTGAAGACAGTGGCCATTAACGAGTCGATGAACGTCTATAAAGGCGATAATTATGTGCTCAACATTGATGTCGAGAATCCTATGATCTCTGGTATTGAAGACAACATTTTGTTTGTTTCCATTGAAATTGTCTTAATCTTGAAATAATTTTGTTGTCAGTTATGAGCCAAAAGCTGAAGCCGATTGGACCGGGAATGACCGAAACGGCCGGTTCTGCCCAATGGATAGTCGGCTATCGATGTAATTACAATGACTGCGAGTTTGTGTCTCACGACCGGAACATCACTCGCGACCACATCGTTGTCCTCCACACCCGCGACGAGCCGTTTGTATGCGATTTCTGTAACAAAGCGTTTGCGATGAGAGATCTGGAGAAACACCAGAAGAGCTCACACGCCGACAATCAGCGGCTGTTGATTAGGTGTCGGTTCGCCGGATGTCACTATTGGACGGGCAGTAAAGAGAAACTGATTCTGCATTACAAACAACAACATAAAGTACGCGAAGAACCAACGCCTCCACCGCAGCCGTCGACACCATCGACGTCGTCGGTCGCTTTGGCGACCACTAAACCGCGCCAACGAGCGGTCGCTTTGCCGCCCAGGAGTTCCATCCAAATGCCCATAATCTTCGAGAGTTTCAAAACCAATCAACACAACAACAACATCGGCAATGGTCTGCGGATTAGTAACGGGCCCATTGAAAGGGAACGACTGCCATCGAAGTCCAACTCGAAGATACACGCGTGCGATTGGCCGGACTGTGACGCCCGGTTCAGGACACGGGGCGAAGTGCTCAACCATATGAACCGACATATGGGTCAACAAAACACAATGACTAAACTGAAGGATTTGATCCGGAGTGGCAATTACGCGATCACAGCTGATCCACAGAATACGGCCCTTTCGCGTAAGTTATCGTTGTTTTTAGAATCAATTGATGAGGTTTTTAAATGATTGATTGTATTGACTAATCTTCAACAGTGATCTGCGAAATCGATACCATGAAAGAGATGGGCTTTAAATGCAATCACAAGGACTGCACGTTTGTGAACATATTCCGACACCTAATGAACCAACACTTGATGACCCACCAGAACAAGGACTCGTTCGCCTGCGGCCACTGCGGCAAAGCCTATGGACTCAAGATATATTTGGCGCACCATATGATGAAATACCATAAATCGGCGACAGATGGCCAGAAGTCGACCACAACAGCGCTAAGACCGGGAACTACTTTTAGCATACGATTGGGTGGACACCAGCGACCGCAACAACAACAACAGCGACCACAACAACCACAACAGCAGTCTTCGGCCACTAACGAGACTCTATGGCGCTGTTCGGCGCCGAACTGTGAGTTCAAGTCATACAACAAGTATTACTTCAGACGACACGCGCTTATAAAGCATGGGATGGAGAAGGAGTGGAAGTGTGGCCACTGTTCGGCGACATTCAAACAACGCCCGCAACGCACTCAACACGAACACGAGGCTCACGGCGGCGGACAACACACGCCGGTCGCCAAACGGGTCTCTTTCGGAACCAAATCGCGTCCGTCTTCTATCGGCGGCCGAACGCCCGATAAGTCGCTGACCGGCAACCGGTCGCCGAAGATGAAGGTCCGCTTCCGACGCCACTCGTCGCGTGTCGTCGGTTTGACGTATAGTCTGCGCCAATCGGATATCAATAACGATCTCAAAGCTATCAATCGGGCCAACAAACGGCCCCATTCTTCGAGTTCTGTTGCGCAACCGTCGCCGACGCCGTCCCGACCGTCCACTGCCGTCAAGAGTAGCCCAAGACTGAGACGGCGACGACGCGCCAGTGCTCCCAATCGGAGACTTTCTTCGAGTGCCACCAGTAGTAGTGCCGTCAGTACTAGTAGTAGCAGTAGATCCAGACAATCGTCGGCTAAATCCAGACATCATTGTCCGGTCAGTGGATGCCATAAGAGTTACGCCTTCGCGCAGACACTGGTTATGCATCTGAAAAGCCATAGAAATAGCGCTAATTATAATTTACGGCAAATCAAGCCGTAAGAGAGTGACCATCTGTTGTGTATTATCACGTGATTACCGGTATATATGAATCCTAATATACGGTATAAAAATCCCATTTAATTAATTAATTTTTGATATAACTATAATTTTTTCGCTTCATTTAATAGTTTGTTAAAACAGTTTTGTAATCAATTACTAGTTTTAAGTTTACTTTATTTCTTATATTACAAACTCATTCCCACAATAAGAGTGTTGTTGTCATCACTTCCACTACTTTACTATATAAACAATGTAAACATTACGTCATTTGTTGGCCTAAAACCACTGGATTTACGGCCCGTTTAATAAAACCGTTGTTAAACTGATGCGCGGATATCTGTTTGTGTCCCTTCGGGGCCAACGACCCGAACGCCGACCACGTGTTGGCCGCGCACTGCACGCACACAATGCGCCGCTTTTTATGGTAATACACGAAACCGGGCGACGGCTCCCGACCGCCGCACAGCCGGTCGAGCTCTAGAGTGGACACCACTTCGGGCGACACCATGTCGTGCAGCCGAACACGCGTTCCGTCCGTCCAATGCGTGTAAACGTCTATAAAGCCGTCGAAAGCGCGGAATCGGCGATCGATGTCTGTGGCGGTCATCGTTGACCACTCTATCCGACCGTATGTTTCGTCAAATTTGGGCGCTTTTGTTGTGTTTTTGTTGTCAATTCAATGGAAGTATAAATTTTACTATAATTACAATTTTGTTCACGAAATTAAATAAAAATGCATTTAAATCATACCATAAGTGATGCCTTCGTTTGGTTGCGGTTTAGCGTTATTTAAATGATTGTCTAAATCGAGTAAACACTTCCATAACTGCGAAAGACATTAAGACAACGATATAATGATTTGCGAATTGAATTATTCTGGGATAACATACGAGTTGTGCGCCGATGGGGGCCAACAGATGCTTCAGCTCTTTGGCAGTGATGCGGTCGGGTATCCTATACTCCATTTGGCAGACAATGTCTCCGACATCGAACTTCTTGGGCTTAATCCTCATAACAGTGATTCCGGTGATGGCGTCGGCGTTGAGTACGGCATAGTTGACGGGTGCGGCGCCTCTCCATCGCGGCAATAGTGAGCCGTGAATGTTGAGCATACCTGCGATCGCCACAAATAGCTTGTATTAATTGGGCTGTAGTTTACCCACAATGAGCTCAAATGTATGGCCACTAATTGGCTAAATACACGGTCACAGACCTAATCGACAGGCGCTGATCGCCCGCTTCGGGATCAGATGGCCGAACGACGAGACGACTCCGATATCGTACGTATCGGCGGGTAATTCATAGGGAAACCGATGAGCGGTCAGCCGGTGTTGGGCCGCAAACCGCGCGATTACGTTGAGCTCAGAGCTTAACACTACGTCCAGACGCGTTATCAACGGCTCTATTGACTGATCGCCGGTTGTCTGTCCGGCAAAGTCTCGGTTCAAGAGTTTGAGTGTCTCTAAACTGAATTCATCGGATCCGTAAAATACGACCGAAAGTCCGCGCAGTCGTTGGCCAGCGATTGATATGCGGCCGACACTCGCCGACGACGACCACCGTTGAGGCCGTGACCGCTGCCGACCCAACACTGACAGCAACTTGTGGTGACATTTGCGGCACAAATAGGTTAACATATTTTCACATCAAATGGTGGTCTCAATCAAGAAGTCAGTGATGAATGAAATGGTGGACACAATTGTCTCTTAACTAAATTAAAATTAATTATAACATGAGTTTAAAACGGGTTACAAATAAAATACAAGTTATGAACTTTTAAAAACCATAACATTTTCATACTTACCATACATTTATTTACTAAGTGATCAGTTGAGTCAGACTATCCATGGTCGTTTTAAACAGTTTTAATTAAAGTAAATTAATTTTAAGCACAAATAAATAGCGAAAACTATTGAAAAATACAATTAACTGTAAAAATACAAAATCACTAAAAATGTGTTATTATTTATTGTTTACATCGGTTTCTATGGAAACGTAACACATGTGTACTGACAGTCAACAGCTCAATCAGGGATGAGCACAGGGGGTGGGGGTTAGGAATGCACAAAATAACCTATTAGAATTATAAATAATAAACATTTACCCAGAACAATCATTTTATGTGGCAAAATATAAACATCCAGATCATTTTAAATGATCATCAATTGATTTAATAGTACTTCAATAGTGAGCACACATAGAGTCCCCCCAACGCAGGTCTGGACACCTCTGATGAGTGCAAATGGCGACCAAAACACAGCCAAAGCTCACGTATTGAGTGATGTTTTGCATTGAATTGTCGTTTGAATCGCGGTTTTCAATGATAATCAAAGACTAATTGGTGTCAACACAACCACTACCACAGAGACAGTGCCAGAAGAATGTCTTCGCACTCATCGCAAGCACCGGTTCAGTCGCCGGCCGGCGGCAGTCAAACGGGTGGCGCCCCCGCCGTCACCGCCTCCTCTGTCTATCCCTTACCGCCGATGAGATACATACACAGCAACTTGTGGTGACATTTGCGGCACAAATAGGTTAACATATTTTCACATCAAATGGTGGTCTCAATCAAGAAGTCAGTGATGAATGAAATGGTGGACACAATTGTCTCTTAACTAAATTAAAATAAATTATAACATGAGTTTAAAACGGGTTACAAATAAAATACAAATTATAAACTTTTAAAAACCATAACAGTTTCATACTTACCATACATTTATTTACCAAGTGCTCAGTTGAGTCAGACTAGCCATGGTCGTTTTAAACAGTTTTAATTAAAGTAAATTAATTTTAAGCACAAATAAATAGCAAAAACTATTGAAAAATACAATTAACTGTAAAAATACAAAATCACTAAAAATGTGTTATTATTTATTGTTTACATCGGTTTCTATGGGAACGTAACACATGTGTACTGACAGTCAACAGATCAATCAGGGGTGAGCCACAGGGGGCGGGGGTTAGGGGTACACAAAATAACCTATTACAATTATGAATAATAAAAAATTATCTATCACAATCATTTTATGTGGTAAAATATAAACATCCAGATCATTTTAAATGATCATCAATTGATTTAATAGTATTTCAATAGTGAACACACATAGAGTCCCCCCAACGCAGGTCTGGACACCTCTGATGAGTGCAAATGGCGACCAAAACACAGCCAAAGCTCACGTATTGAGTGATGTTTTGTCATTGAATTGTCGTTTGAATCGCGGTTTTCGATGACAATCAAAGACTAATTGGTGTCAACACAACCGCTACCACAGAGACAGCGCCAGAAGAATGTCTTCGCACTCATCGCAAGCACCGGTTCAGTCGCCGGCCGGCGGCAGTCAAACGGGTGGCGCCCCCGCCGTCACCGCCTCCTCTGTCTATCCCTTACCGCCGATGAGATACATACAGATGTTCAGCGACGACAACGTGTCGCCCGCGAAGTGTCCGCAACCGCCCAAACCTGTGTCGGAGACCGGAGGCCAGTACTCGATGTTCGGCCAAACCATTGCCATCGATGACCACATCATACGCTCTCTGGAGTCGCAGGGATTGCGCCGATTGTATCCCAGAGAGTATGACCACAAACGGGAGCTCAAGAAAATGAACGCTTCCATTCTCGTCAACTTCTTAGACATTCTCGACGTTCTCGTCAGATGTCCCGACACTAACAAACGCGAGGACAAGACTAACGACATTCAACTCCTCTTCATTACGGTATGCATCAGCTCTCTCTCTCTCTCTCTCTCTCTCTCTCTCTCTCTCTCTCTCTCTCTCTCTCTCNGATAGACAGAGGAGGCGGTGACGGCGGGGGCGCCACCCGTTTGACTGCCGCCGGCCGGCGACTGAACCGGTGCTTGCGATGAGTGCGAAGACATTCTTCTGGCACTGTCTCTGTGGTAGTGGTTGTGTCCAACAGATGCATCACTTGATCAATGAGTTGCGTCCACATCAGGCGCGGGAGTCCATCAAAGTGCTGATGCAGAGCCAGAAACGGCAACGCCTGGAGACCAACGCCCGACTCCACAAACAGATCGAGAAAGTGCGGGATCTGATCAACGCTGCCATCAATGCCATCAGCGATGACACACTGATGGACGCGTTGGATGTGAAGCCCAACGCCGCGGATCTCATGGCACTCACGAAGACTAACGCCTCGTCGTCGGCCGCTGTGGCCGCGACCGCACTCGAGGCCAGCGGTCAACAGATCGACAATACCTACGAAAAGGACGCTCTTATGTGTGATTTTGTCGAAGAGTTAGCACTCGCTTAATGTCTACTTTTTCCTCACAAACTATTGATACTATCGTTAATCTCATCGATCATTGGGTCTTATAATCGCGGATCAATTGAAGTGACAATTAATTTAACACATTATTATATTTAACACTCATTTATAATATTTAATAAATTATTTTTCAAAACAATAAACAGTTATTTAATTCTTGAGAACTGATTTGGTTTTAATGGCAAAATACTCGGGAACTGACGGTAATTATAAACTTAAAAAAGTGCACATTTTATAAATGAAATGATTTTATTCTTGCGGATCAACTGAAACGCATTCTTCGAGATTTTCATTCATTTCAATCGTAAAATTTTTGGGAATTAAGACATTTGTGTCAATCAATCGATTCTCCAGTTCTTGCCTCACCTCTGGATTCACTAAAAGTCGGAACCGTTTTCTCGAAACTCGATTCGCGAATAAATGACAGCAAAATTCATACAAAATTTCAATTATATCACTTTTAAGACCGAATGAACTCAAGTCCAAGAAGTCAACAGATCGACAATACCTACGAAAAGGACGCTCTTATGTGTGATTTTGTCGAAGAGTTAGCACTCGCTTAATGTCTACTTTTTCCTCACAAACTATTGATACTATCGTTAATCTCATCGATCATCGGGTCTTATAATCGCGGATCAATTGAAGTGACAATTAATTTAACACATTATTATATTTAACACTCATTTATAATATTTAATAAATTATTTTTCAAAACAAACAGTTATTTAATTCTTGAGAACTGATTTGGTTTTAATGGCAAAATACTTGGGAACTGACGGTAATTATAAACTTAAAAAATGCACATTTGATAAATGAAATCATTTTATTCTTGTGGATCAACTGAAACGCATTCTTCGAGACTTTCATTCATTTCAATCGTAAAATATTTGGGAATTAAGACATTTGTGTCAATCAATCGATTCTCCAGTTCTTGTGAGTGGAGACCTAAGTGATTTTCAGCCTTGGCAAAAGAGCTTTGAGCTAAGCGCTTATTTACTGTCGTTTTAAGTATGTTTTAAAGTTAATATAGTGAAAATTCTGGCTTACTTGAGTTCAGGTTCTCAAAGTTAAGCCACTTGTTGTTCTCCAACCGCAGCCGATAGTTAAGCGGAGAGTTAAGTAGCCAAAACTACCTGTCCACACACTCAGCACCGTTTATACAGTCTGTACAGTACTTCAGTACCTGTGTGACTTTACACCCGTTACTAATCCAACACTCGTCCAAACAGACACACGTGACCTCAACTCTCGAGAGTGTGAGATGTCTTAAGCGGGGCAACACTTGCGCACAGTTGGACCACTCGTCTGCCTCTACTTGTATTAAACCACATAAACTCAATGTCCGTAAACTCGACATCGGTTTCATTGCGTTGGGTTTGAAGTCAGTCCATAAGTGATGGCCAACTCTCGCAGCGATTCCTGTTTACCAATACCTTCATTGAAGACACTCGAGTCGACCTCATCGCAGATGTGGAGCGGTGTCGCACCAAAGCTCAGACTCTTAAGTGCCAATCGATCGCAGATCAGCGCAAAGATGTCTTCAATTTCGACCCAATATCTCCCTCTATAGTCACGAGTGATGATCAACTCTTGGATTATCTTCTCGTTACCGTCGATGAGTTGTGCGAAAAACTGCAAACCCAATACGTTTTGCGTATCGTTCAGATCAAGAGAGCAAATCAGTTCCGGTGACCGCTTATTATCTCTCGGTTTGATGTAATAGTAGTTGTGATGCAATTGCTTCAGACGTGACAACTGTTGCATCAGTTCTTTGACAGTCGGAGATTCGGTCCAATATATGTCACTCAACACGAGTTTGACTCTCAATTCAATTGAATCCAAACGAGACAAAAGTCGAGCCACTGGTAGCCGATCCACTTCGGCAAAGGAGATCCAATTTAATGACAAACACTTGAGTTGTGGACACGAAGTCATAATCATTTCAACGATACTAAGATTAATATAACAGTCGCGTAAATCCAATCGTTTAATGTTTGGGAACAACTTAATCATTGAACCAAATAAGTGATAATTTCTGATCACACCGTCTGACCATCGCGTGGGACGGGTCCTGTCGTCAAACGGACCGATCGACTCGCGATCCACTTTAAGCTCTGTCTTCCTCTCGAGACATGTGTGGACACAATCCATGTACTGTTGAGACACTGTTGACAAACGGATCAACTCTTTCACTGATAATTCACTCAATACTAGACACAAGACTAGCAGCGTGTCCTGTACACACCGCGGTGAATTGTGCGCTAGCGAACAGTAGAGAAGTGCGCAACAGAATTCACAAAAATAACAGAGGTATTCACTAGGCCAAAGAAGTGTCTGAAGAGATCAATATAATCGCAAAGCCATGCCTTCAATGAATGTGAATAAAAATGTTTCAAAAACTTAATGTTTGTATCGATTCCTATGACAACCACTCAACGCATGCCTTCAGCATTGGTTTAAAGTTTTATAAAAGTTTTTTATTTTAATTAAATTTTATTGTAATTCAATATACAATTAAATCTATTATAATAACAACATTTTTATAACAAATTAAATGTCATATTTTAATTATATATCATCAAGTTTTTAAAAAGCAGATCAATTCAAGTGAACAATTAATTAAACACAATATTTGGCACTCATTTAAAACATTTTCAATTATACTGTAATTTAAATGTAAGAAATTATGAAATTCTAGAAATGAAATGATTATATTCTTATGGATCAACTGAAAGACATTCTTTGAGATCTCATTTGCTTTGAAGCATAAAATACTTGTTTAGTTTTAGACTATTTGTATCAATCAATTGCCGTTCGAGTTCTTGTCTCACCTCCGGATTCACTAAAAGCCGAAACGGTTTTCTCGAAATTCGATTTAGAAACAAATAATGACAAAATAGTATCAAATTGTCGACAATATCATCGGCGATGGCAAACGAACTCAAGTCCAAGACCCGCAACTCAATAAGCGTCATAATGTGCACGATTTCTGTACCAGCAATCAGTGGTTTCATGTCTTCGCCTTCAATGCGCATATGTCTGAGTTGTGGCAAACGTTTCAGATATGCCATGAAATTAAAGACACAATCCTCGCAATCGTTGCCGAAGACAAACTGTTCGCCACAAATGCACACTAATGTGATGTTCATTAATATCAAATGTCTTAACGCCGGGAACACATCCTCACATTTTAACCACCGATACGGTACGATAGCTGATCCGTTAAGACATAATACTTGTAGATTACACATCGGTTTCATCTCTTTAGGATTGAACCAAATGCCGGATGTGATGGACAAGTGTCGCAGTGATTGCTGTTTAACGATATTCTCATTAAAGACAATGTTATCGAAGTTTGAGGCGGAGGTCACACCGAATGCCAAACACTTGAGCGCCAATCGATCGCAAATTAACCGAAAGATATCGTTATTCTCCTCCATATCGAGGCCTCGAAAGAGTATCAGCTCTTGGATTGTCTTCTCGTTACCATCGATGAGTTGTGTCAACGAATTCAAATTTAATTGTGTGATCATATCCTTCACACGGAGACAGCAAATGAGTTTAGGTGTCGACCATTCGTCGCAATACTTGTCCATCGGTTTGGTGTAGAAGTTGTGATGCAATCGCTTGAGAAGAGACAACTGATTCGTCAATTGATCGATAGTAAGAGAGTCGCCATAATTGAAGTTCGTGTCAAACCAGGCATTTATTCGCAGTTTAATTGAATCCAATCGAGACAACGCTTTAGCCATTCTTCGCAGATCTTCTTCGCCGCCGTCCGACATATGGATCCAATTGAATGACAAACACTTGAGGCGCGGACACGAAGTGATGAGGAGTTCAATGGTATCGCCGTTGATATAACACTCGTGTAAATTCAAATATTCAATGTTTGGACACTTCTTAAGCAGCGAACCAAACATGTGGTGACTTTGGACCAAATCGTCGACCCGTTCGCAGCCGTCGGCCACTTGTCTGCCGATAAACGCGCCCTTCATTTCACACGCCGTCACATCAGTCCTCCTCTCGAGACACGTGTGGACACAATCCAAGAACTGTTGA